GTAAACTTGACAACTTGGCTACGATTTGATCAACTAAAGACTCTTGAGTAGATGATGGGCTGCCTTTTGTACTTGATCCAGGAAATCTTGGATGACTGTGTCTCTGGCCTTCACCCTTTGCTGTGCTTGCTCCCAACAAAAACGCCACTGTAAACCTCCGTCAAAAGGTACTATATGAAGCTCGCTCGCTTGCTTCTTGAACCCATCTACAATAGCTTCTAACTCAGCTATTTTCTTGCCATCTCTCCCATGTTGTTTCTCTAGATCAATCACCCAGATTCTCAAGCGTTGGTTCTGATGTTGACTATCTGCTAAGCGCCTTTGAGCAGTCTTTAACTGTTCCTTCCAAGCTCTCTCATCAATACCCTTGAACTTCCTTTTCAGGCTGTGAGCTTCGTCTTTCCAGTATTCAAAGGTCACTTTCAACTTGGAGTTATCATTGACTTTATCTTGATACCCCTTTCTCAAGTCTTCGAGCTCGAAACGGACTTTCTTCTGTTCTTTCTCCAGTTTGTCTGCTCGATCTTTCTGAGTGTCGGCATCTAGTTTCCACTGATAGCGTTCAGCTTCAAGTTCCCTTACCCTCAGCTTCAAGTTCCCCTACCCTCTGCTTCAGATCATTATTCACAGCTTCAAATTCTGCTTTTGATATCTCAAGTTCGGAAGAGACATGCCTGAGATGTTCCTCCATGGTTTGGGTGTCCTCACAATCTAGCACCGGGATGTTGTCATTTTTCCTTAATCTTCGCCACTCCAAATAATCCTGAGTAAGCATGTTTTTGGCAGCTACGACATCCATCTGGAACACTCTCTTCCATGACTCGAACACCTCTTTGATCATCTTCTTATAGTTATCACCATGGTACACAAACTCTGATGCATATAATTCGTATGTGGCTGGAACAAACTGACGTGCCACATACTGTCGAAGTGCCAATAACGGAGAATATCCAACTCTGTCCCATAGTCTAATTAAGGTCATAGTGTCGGAATCCCCACACTGGAAAAGAATGCCACTGTAGAACAACTAGGGGGCTCTCCAGGCAATGTCCCGGTCTTGAAGATGAGTGAATATTTTCATCCACTTTTCATTTGATGCGCCTTCATGCCATTTCATAATGATAAACTCTCCCAAAGGTAAATAGGTGGTGCTGAAAAGACGGTAGGCAACCTCGTTAGTCTTCCAGAAGTGGCTGTGAATCCAGACTTAAAGGAGCTGAACACACCCAATGAACCTTCCTCCACCAGTTCTTCTACAATGATTGAGGGACTGAAAGGTCTAGGCTAAGATGGTCGGTGCTGGGTTGACTAGCCTCGGAAGTTGTTCAAATAATTCCACCACGGCTGCGTCGATGCAACCTTGGCCAGTCCGTTCTTGAAAGGCTGACTCTTAATGTGTTTGATATATGCATTCTCTAGTCTGATGCTTTCGCAGTGCAGTAGTATAGTTTACTCTTCGATAGTGGGCACCATGTCCTCCCAGTTAAAAGTGAAGCAGTTGTACCTTGGATTCCAGAATTGAATCAGGGTTCTGATCAAGGGCGCATCTATCTTGACATGGAGTAAGAGGGCGATATCACATATCGTTGCTGAACTTCTGCTTTCGGTTACCCTTCCAAATATCCCAAATATTTCGCAGCTCTTGGACATCGTTATGTTTCAGGCTGACAGAGGCGTAACTAACCAGATCTGACACATAGTTCCCCTAAAGACAATCTCTCTTCTCTTTCTGAGTCTTCTCGGACCATAGTCGTACCTCGGCATTTTTAATCTCTTGTATTACAATACCTTTGTTCATTAATTCAGATTATTTGGGTGTAATAAACTCTTTTTAGGGATCAATAGCCTCTTTTATTATGCAAATGCTAATAAGGACAAACACGAAAGTAAAAAATTAGTAAAAATAAGGAAAAAATAGTAATGAAAGTAAAGAAAAATAAATGAAAGAAAAAAAAGAAAACAACATAGTTAGGGTAAAAATATCCTAGGGCTTGAAATGTGGTTTCGGGGTAGGCTCTAATTCTTCATAGTCTCCCGGATTAGGTTCTAAAAAGGTACCCGAGTTCTCCTTGCTGGTTCCCCCTTAGGTTTGCCAGACCCTTAGTCTTGAACCCATTATAGGCTCGTGTGGACTAAGTTAAACTCGAGAGGAAACATTCCCTTATGCCCGTACGGTGAATAAATTCACATGAAGACATAAGGTATATGAATCCCGAAAGCTACTTGCTAGGACCACATGGTGAATAAATTCACACGAAATCGTCGCTTTCACCCCTACTTAAATAAGGTTCGGAGCTCGGGTATAGAGCCTTAGATGAAAAACAAGTTTGGGCTGAAATCATTAGAAAATTGTTAGTACAACTATTTACTCGAAAATATAATCAAAAGTAAGCAATAAGGATTGAAATGTTACCTTAAAATTTAAATTTACCATTTTCGTTAAAAATACAACTTGAAATTACCTTAGCCTGACTCACTTACTTGTCCCCACTGGAGTCGCCAAGCTGTCGGAACCGTCTTTCAGGTGGGCCTGAAATTGGGCTTCGACTTGGATTAAATGCTTAGGAGTCGCCACCGATAATTTATTTTATGAAAAATAGGTTGATCGGATACCTTATTTCTACCTGATCTGCGTCTTACCAAAGATGTGTCGGATTCGGGAGTCGGTTACAGTCAAGGAAGGGTTAGCACCATTGAACTGCCCTTTCAGTACTACGTAATTTCCAGTTATCTTTAATTAAGAAAATTGAAAGTTAAAATTAAAAGGTAAAATAACAATCCGAATTTCTTACCTTAGATTGATTTGAAATCATCCTTAAACAAATTCAGAAACATGTTAGAGAGAAAAAATGAAAATAAAATAGAGAAAATACAATGGAAATAAAGAAACTAACATGAAGATAGAAAGATAAAATAAAAGGGAAAAATAAAAAAATATAGAATAAATAAATAAAGTAAAAATAAAAATATATACATATACAATATAAAGTAAATAAAAAATAAAATCAGGGAAAAACAATTAATATAATAATAGGCGTATAAATAAAATTTTAATAGTATACATATATATATATAATAAAATATAATAAAAAAATAATCAAACAAAGATAATCAGAATATATGTATAATAATAATAACAAGTTTATAAATAAAATATTTAAAAATATATTCATATATATAACGATATATATAACATAAAAAAATAATTAAAATATATATACAATAATACGAATAATAAAAGGAAATAAATAAATAAATATATATAATAAATAAAGGACTAATATGAATGAATAGCTAAAATTGGGGCCAAATTTGGAAAATGATTAGCGTCAGAATTGCAAATTAGGGGTGAAATGAAAGTTTCAAACAATAGGGGGACCAAAAGCGCGATTTACCCTTTTTCTTTAAAAAACACGCAGATCTAACATGGGCACGGGTCGGGTCGTGGAGGTCCGATGGGCTTAGTATAAAGCCAATTTGTTTTTAAAATTCTTCATTTCTCTCATTCTTCCACGAACGCCCTCCCCTCTTTTATGATTTCTCTCATTATTCATCCAAAAAGATGAATAGACACCGTGATTTCCAAAACACGGACGCCTCGCCGCCGCCGTTCATCGGTGGTAAAAATTGTATTTTTATATTTTTTTCAAATCTTGAAAGCTTTTTAAACCTAGTTTCCAAAAACCAAAACGTTTTTTAAAAAACATAAGCCTCGGGGCTAGATCTACGAATGCAGATCTCGCAAACGCCCTTGTTCCTCGGCTTTTTCGAAGCAAAAACGAAAAAAATAAGTGAAACAAGCCATATGCAAGCGAGAACCGAAGCAATATAGGTAAAAATACCTCTTTTATTTCTCTTTAAACCGTATAAAATGTTTCGATTTGCTCGTATTTCCTTTGGCTTTTTCATGTGCTTGTGTAATGCTAATCTTGCATGTAATCGTGTGGGTATTTCGTGTGAAATCGTGTCTTCCAAATGTTTGAGTTTACACTTATTTATAGCAAAAGAAAATTCTATTCTTAGACTCCTACTCGAATTAGAACTCTAATGCGTGTTGGTTGCTTTGGTTGTTGATGTGGGATCTTCGTGCTCTCCTTGCGCCGAAGGAATCGGAGTTGGTGGCGTGCGGCGTGGGGACTTCAAACGAGGGAACGACGCTCTAGGGTTTCTAGAAACCCTTGGTGCTCGGGTTTGCCTTGGAGGTTGATTCGGGTAGGGTTCCAGCGGATACAGGTCATGGGTTTGGGCTCCAAGTTAGCTGCTGATCACCAGACGAGTCTTCTACTGGGCCATTTGAGCTTTTGGGGTTTTGGGCCACTTGTACTTGTAATGGCTTTGGGTCATATGATATGTAATGGATCTGTAACATGTAACAACATTGATTAATAAAATAATAATACACATATATGATATATATAATATATAATATATATATATATATATATATATATATATATATTTCGATTAGAAAAAGTGTGTCTACAATATATATAAACTAAAGAGCTCAAGCATTGAAGGGCTAGAGTTGGATTAGAATGGTATGGGATGATGAAAAATGGGCCCGGAATAGAGAGTGGCATGAGAGGCATAGAATTGGAATAGGGATGTGGCGCGGTGATTAATCACTTCACTGTTCACCCTCACCCCATTAATGTCGGTGGAACACGCTCTTCACAATTTTCCTAAGAGCTCATGCTCATCCATCGACACTTCAGTCACGCGTCCTCTTTAATCATTTATTTCTCTTTGATTAATTACTCCATTATTTAATGATATCTATTAACTATCTAATTTAAAATTCCCTTCAACATCTGACGCTTAAAATACAATCATGAATTTAATTTTTTTAATAAAAAAACATAGGTCTCTCATTTCTCAACTCTACATTGGACTTACTTATAATTAACAATACTAATTAATTAAATAATTTCATTTTCATTTATTTATTCCTGGTTCTCCACAGGCACTGTTAGTCTCCGAAACCAAATCCATCTGCCCCTGTTCTTCGCTTCCTCGTCTTATCATTCCCTCTTCAAAACAACCAGGTTTCTATCAGATCTGCAATCTTTTCTTTTATTAAATCGATTCTTCACCCTCAAATGCACCTTCTTTTGGCAGCGTGACTTCACTTGTCATATTTTTCTCTTTTACTGAAAATTCCAAATCATGGCGATCGTCGGCCCCATCACTCCCGGTCAGGTACGTTTCCACTCACTCACCATTCTCATCAGCTCTCGGATCTTGCATTCTAAACATTTTTTTCTTAAATTATTATGAAATGTTGTTGTTTGGATTATTTTTTAGGTTTCGTTTTTTCTCGGCATATTTCCGGTGATTTCAGCTTGGATCTACGCGGAATATTTACAATACAAGAAAAATACATCCGCATCCAAAGCGTAAGCTCTGAATTTCTACATTTTGTAATTTTATTTTTAAAAATTAATTAATGTATTTTATTGGTGAAATGCTTATTTGTTTTTCTTCGTATTTCTGTTAGTAGGCACTCCGATGTGAATTTAGTCGAAATCGGAAATGGTGCCGTTAAGGAGGAAGACAGAGCGATTTTATTGGAAGGCGGGGGTCTTCAATCCGGTTCTCCTAAAGCGCGGTCTTCAACATCTTCCTTTTCGCCAATTCTCAAGTTTGTCATCGGAGCATTGATTTTTTTTTCATATGTTTTATATTTAGATGGGTTGCCGAATTTATATGATTCGATTTTGTTAAGGTTTCTTATGATGGACGAGACTTTCTTGGTTGAGAATCGGTTGACGCTTCGAGCTATGTAAGTGAACTTTCAGTTTGTTGATTAATATTATGTAATTTAACTTGACCTCCCTTTGTATAATTGTTTTTGTATTTACCATCTTATAGATCTGAATTGGGTGTCCTTTTGGTATACTATTACCTATGCGATCGCACTGATGTGTTTGCCTCTTCGCAAAAGGTGAAGATGATTACTTCATTATAATATTTCATAGTTATATTATTTCAAGTTGTAGGAGGAAATGATAAAAATGTGAAAACTTCTTAACTACATTTCAAATTTAGTTTTCATTGCAATAACCAATCGTTTAAAATGGTGTTATCACTTGCTAATTAAGTTTCTTATTCATTATATGTCTCTGCAGAATTACAATCGGGATCTTTTCTTGTTCCTCTACTTTCTTCTCATCATAGTTTCCGCAATAACTTCATTCAAGATACACCATGATAAGTCACCATTTTCAGGGAAATCTATACTTTATTTGAACAGACATCAAACTGAGGAGTGGAAAGGTTGGATGCAGGTTTGTAATTCTTTGAAATGATGTAGTAAATCTGTAAAATCTTCTTCTTGAGAGATTTGTCTAGTTATGGTAGAATATGATTGTCTTGAAACTGCAAACACTTTTGGCTGATACTGCTTATGCTTCAAATGTTCTAGCATTGCTACACAAGGATCGGTATGCTTATGCTTACTTTTTTTCTCCTTTTATTTTACAGGTACTATTTTTGATGTACCATTACTTTGCAGCTACAGAGATTTATAATGCTATCCGACTTTTCATTGCTGCTTATGTGTGGATGACTGGATTCGGAAATTTCTCATATTATTATGTGCGCAAAGATTTCAGTCTTGCTAGGTTTGCACAGGTATGGCGTATGAGTTCCCCTAAAGTGAATAATATCTGAACTCATGATAACATCTCCTTGTTCCAAGTTCCAACATTGAGTATTTTGGCTGAACAGATGATGTGGCGGCTCAATTTCTTGGTATTCTTTTGCTGTGTCATCCTCAATAATAGTTACATGTTGTACTATATATGCCCCATGCATACTCTATTCACCCTTATGGTTTATGGGGCACTTGGTATTCTGAACAAGTACAATGAGAAAGGATCAGTCATTGCTATAAAAATCATTGCCTGCTTCTTGGTAGTTATCCTAGTCTGGGAAGTGCCTGGAGTGTTTGAAGTCCTCTGGAGCCCATTTACCTTTTTCCTTGGTGGGTAACTTTCCAAAGTATAATCTATATTTAAGCAATTTTCTGTCATATTGGTGACAAATATATAAATAAAAACTGTTTCAGGATATACTGATCCCTCAAAGCCTAATCTTCCTCGCATGCATGAGTGGCATTTCCGCTCAGGCCTTGATCGTTACATTTGGATTATTGGAATGATATATGCTTATTACCATCCAGCTGTAAGTTCTGATGCAATTATTTTTCATCTTTTCATTGTATCTTCTTGGTATGAATTAATGCAATTTGTTTAGGAATAATGTACTTAGTTGGTAGCTATATTGGAATTTACTATTGCAGGTTGAACGGTGGTTGGAAAAACTCGAGGAAACAGAGGTGAAGAGGAGAGTATCCATCAAAGTAGCAGTGTCGATAATCGCCCTTACGGTATCATATCTATGCCTTTTAATTTGCATTCCTCTTCTTCAAAAAAAAAAATTTGCATTCCTCTTCTTAGAATTTCCATCTATTATTCATGAAGTTCTAATAAAATTTGTAGGTTGGATTTCTCTGGTTCGAGCACATTTACAAGCTCGACAAGATCACTTACAATAAGTACCATCCTTATACGTCATGGATCCCAATAACGTAGGTCCTCATATTGACTGTGTTGATATTTGACGTATCTGAATGTTTTGGCATTTACTGATCAACTCTTGTTCCTTATTTTCATCAGTGTTTATATATGTTTAAGAAATGTTACCCAGTCCTTCAGAAGCTACAGTTTAACCCTTTTTGCGTAAGTAGCCTTTAATTCATCTCTTCTTTTATCTTTTTACTTTCTAAATATCAACGAGGTCAAACTAATATTTTTCTTTTGTTTTCCAGTTGGCTTGGAAAGATTACACTGGAGACCTATATCTCACAGATCCACATCTGGCTAAGGTAAGTTGAGGTTGATGTCATGAGAATTCTTGGCGTTTCGGCTGTTTGCGATGAGTTGATCCTTTATTCAGACTTATATCATAGCTTACACTATCTTAATATCCGTTTAATGTGCAGATCCGGGGTTCCAGATGGTCAGCCTAAGCTGCTGCTTTCTCTGATCCCAGACTTCCCGATGTTGAATTTCATGCTTACTACTTCCATATACCTTGCAGTAAGTAAACTTGTGTCATCGTCGGGGACTTCAAATATCTCTTTAGTCACCACTGAAAAGTTTCTCTTGTCTGCAGATATCTTACAGACTCTTTGATTTAACAAATATACTGAAGTCAGCTTTTGTGCCAACCAAAGACAACAAGCGCCTCATCCACAACTTAATTACTGGTGTTGTAATCTCCAGCATATTATACTCGCTATCTTTCATGTTCCTCAGAATCCCTCGGATGTAGGTAAGATTTCTTCTTCAATTCTATCACCGTGAGTATACTTGTCAGTTTTTATTGGAACATGAAAACTTAACCCAATTAATTGGAATCTGAACCCTAGCCAAACCTATTTGAGCTAAGAGTTTTAACAATCTGTGTTAGCTGAACTCGAATCCGATTGCTACCCAAAATAACCTGAGCTCAACTTGCAAACTCAAATGACAACCTTAAATGATCCAAACTCAAAATGACTTGAATAGTAAACCAAATGATTTAAACTCAAAATGGCCTAAACCCAAAACAACTCAAACTGATTCAAACCTGAAATTGAGCCAATCACAAAGTGACTCAGAAATTTTAGAACTCCAATTGATCCTACCAAAGCCAGCCCCGTCCAATTTATGGGTCAACCTGAGAGAAAACATAAGTTAAAATATCTGATTCGACAGCCTTCATTATATTCTAATTTGCAGGTGTGATGATTACAAGTATAGAAATACTAGAAAGCTGTCACGACAACCTTGTTCATCACTGTGCCATTGGAAGTGTAATACCTTAGCAATAGAAACTTAAAATTGCAGAACTCAATTGGAGGAGTCCTCGTTTTATCGATCAGATGCTGGGGAATCTTGGAATATGCGAGTAAGGGGAGGATCTAAATTCAGTATAGAGCCTCTAATTTGAGGTTTGTTAGTTTTGTTCTTTCTGATTGTTTTCCGTAGAACACTACAATATAGTAACTTAATTCATTACCATGTTTAAAATTCATCTTATGAAATAAAATTTGCCTTTAATTAATATGTATTACATTTACCCTGCATTTGTTTTATTAATCTAGGAATCAAGGAACCGAAAAATAATAATAAAAAAGTAATAGAAAGGTAAGAAAACACTCTAGAATCCGATTGCAGGAGCAAGGTCAACAATGCAGCATCTTTTCCAGCATAGACCGTAGCAGATAGTTCCTCAGAAAATATGCACAATAACATAGGGGCCAATCTAATCATAATGTTAAAGAAAGTAGGATGAATAACTTCAAACTCGATTATTTGTAATCAAGCTTGGATTAATATTGATCTGTTCCATGAGTTATTTTAGTCGAGTGATTCGAGATGAGTTAGATTTCAGCTCAACAATGTCAGACCCAACTCAAGTAACTAGTGCGCGTAGGAGATGCCACAGTCCTGAATCGGCTGAAGCCATGGGTTTCACCCACGGGATTCGGTTCATGAATGAGAATTGAATGGAGCGGTGCAACTATTGAAGGGGACGCCATGAACATCATTAATTGCTTGGCAAACAAACAATAAGACATTTCCGTGGTCGGATTGGTGCTTAATGAGGCTTGAGAAGCACTCAAGTATCATCCAAACATCAAAGTTCACTATGTTACCGAGAAGCCAACCCTATTGATGCTTAATGAGGCTTGAGAAGCACTTAAGGGGGTGTTTGGTTCAAGGATTGTGGGATTCCCATGGGATGAGAATCTCACGTTTCCATGTTTGGTTGGTCAGGAATCTCATTCCCGGTAATGTTTTATTACTAATAGTAGATTTTTTGTGGTATATTACCGGGAATGTCATTACCTCCCTTCCCTTAGGTATTGTAACATTACCAGCGTTTTGGACTAAAATGCCTTTAAATTTTTAATTTTTTTCAAAAATATCATTCTTCTGTCATTGAATAATAAAAATTCTACGAAGGTTAAATTACAAATTTATCCTTAAATTATTTTAGATTTACAAAAAAAATCTATAATTAAAATTTTATATGAAATTCAGGGATTAAAAGTTTTTTTACCCTTTCAATAAACATTTTTTATATTTTTAATTTTGTAAAAAAAATTATATAAATATTATGAATTTAATTTTTTAAAGAAAATATATAAATATTTTACAATTTGTAATATTATACAAATATATAATAAGGACAATTTGGTTAAATATACATTTCAATAATCTTTTATTCCTTTAACCAAACACGGTAATCTTACATTCCTGCTAAACCAACCAAACACAAAATACAACATTCCCAGTAATCCTATTCACTGGTAATCTTTTATTCCCACTGGTAATCTTACATTCCGTGAACCAAACGCACCCTAAGTATCATCCAAACATTGAAGTCCATTATGTTACCGAGAAGCCAACAGGGTTGCTCATTTTTTGGCTCACTGGGCCTTGTCGAATACAAATCCAATATGATTTTATTTTGACAAACCTGATTGTATCAAGAATGATGTTCTTATCGGCGCTGTTAACGGTTAATTGAATGAATGTCTATAATTTCAAAAAAAAAAAAAATCTCGTTTGTGCACGAGACTCATGGTCACGAAACAGGCAGTTTATTTGTGCTAACCAGCTACTAAAGTTTTGGCTGCCAAAAAACCCCCTCAAATTTGATTTTATAATGTCGACCAATGATGGCGTCGTTAGTCAAAAGATTTATTAATGCATTTAAAAGTACAAAATTTACTATAGGTGTATTTTCTAAAAGGGGCCATTATATATTTTTAGGGTAAATTACACTTTAGTATCTCAACTAGAGACTCAAATAACAATCGAGTAACAAAATAATAGTTGCTATATAATAGTAATGACGGTGGCTGAAATGACGTTTAAAATGATTATTGCAAAAAATAACAGTATGAAAAGAATCACACCAATAATAGTGGATTGAGACTTCAATTTAGTGAGCAAAAAGTCAATTGTGGCAATAACAGTCCATTATTCTGTTTTAAAAATAATTTTTTAAAAAATCAAATTCTTTTAAAAAAAACTCAAGACCATGATATCTGATTTAAAAAAATAGTTGAATGACCAAAGTAAAATAAAAATGATAATTCGGATACTAAATATGAATTTACCCAATTTTAGGTAAAGAAACCATCACCCCCTCGCACCTTATTTAAATGAGATTAAGTTTTAACCCGTTAATGATTTAAACCAAGGCATTACAAAAACATAATAATCAAATCATTTTAAATTAAAGTAAATGAATTCTTTTTATCACCAGATGTCGAATGACTCTTTCGTCTTGGTCTAACATGGCCTTAAAGTCATTGATCCATCTAGCTTCCAACTAAAAGTTCATCAAGATGTAGTGGCATTCTTGGCCTTCTTTATCTTGTACGCTAGTCTCCGAAGACCCCAATCGTTCAATCTCCATACCCTGCCTTTCTTCTCCCTCAAGAAATCTGCAGCAAGCATTTTATGGATATAAATTATGAAATAAACTCCGCCTGCGTTTCTTCAGAACTGGCAAAGGAAGTAATCTATATCCACTCCAAAGGAATGTGTGGGAAACTCGATGAAAGGATACTAATAGCCCAAAATGAAAACATTAAGCAAAAACAACAATAATGAGGAAGGGTTACCTTGAACTTTCTCATTCACTTTTTCAACCCCCTCATCGTGCTTCTCGTGAATTAAATAAACAACCTCGTAGTGTCGCACTGTGTAAACACGGAAAACAATTGATCACGACAACATTGAAAAGAGAAAACCCATGTCGTCCATACGAAGACAAAAGTTTTGCTTCCTCCATATTTGACTGAAATCAGGCTCCAAATGTGACTTTGATATTACAAAGGGTAATAAAACCATGAGTTTCCTGGAATCATTCAGCAGAGATTGAAGATTCATATTCCATTTTCTCAGGTGGGACTCCGACGTAAGATTTCAATATCGTTGGCGTCATATTCAAGAGTATAATAAGCAAATTTATACTTTTTAAAACCATCTCTGAATCCAACACTTGCTTTAGTCTTTGTTTGTGGTGACATAAGTTCATCCTACAACTCACAAATTTAGAAATTTCGAAACGATAAGGTCCACTCAACATATATGAGGAGCTAATGAAACGTTTATAAGGTCCAAATCAAAAGCTCGATGATTATGATAGAATCCAACACTCACTTTAATCTTTGTTTGCAGCGACATAAGTTCATCTTACATCTACCGAGTTCCGAAACATCAGAACTGTCTGAACGGTCCTTCAGCTTTTTCGGAATGAAACTGTGAGCGTCTTGCTTATCATTATCATTGCTTTTGTTCTTCTTTGCCTCCACAATTAAAAGCTTTCCCGAGAAAATTTGAAGAAAGGGCATCGGTTTCCAAAGAAGCCAGTTTTTATTTTCAGTCTTGGTGGCCTATGAGCAACTAGTTTTGCAGAAGAGTGTAGGAGAGACTCCATTGCAGGAACTCGGAAGTGCAGAGATAACATTTCTCTCTAATTATCTGGAGTTATGGACAAAAAAAAGGTATTGGATTGAGCCACTTCTTGGGGTTGATTCTAACCCATGGGTTGCATCTGCTGATTTTACTACTTGTAAATGTCCACATCTGAAAGCCCATTTATATACCAATCTTGTCTAGGGGATCTTGTCTAGGGGTGAGCGTTCGATCGAGTCGAGTCAAAAAAATTTCGAGTTATTCGAGTTGACAAGTCTTATTTTACAACTCGAAGTTGACTTGAAATTTTTTCGAGTCGAGTTGATTTTTTGAGTTTTGTTTAAATTTAATTATAAATATTTATAATATTATAATATTATTTGATTCCAATTTAAGAGACTTTCTATAACCATATATACAATACAAATATTTTCTTCATATGTAATATACACATATCATACAAAGTTCAAGAACTCGACTTAAACTTAAAAGTAAATCTACTAATTACTAAATTTTTTTGAGTTATTTGAGTTGCATTTTACAACTCGATTTGAACTTGAATTTTTTTGAGTCGAGTCGAATTTGTGAAATTAGGACTTGAAGTCAATTTGAGTAAAAAAATTCGTTTTTTCGAGTCGAATCGAGTTTTGCTCTCCCTTAATCTTGTCAAGTTCTTCAATCTTCAGAAATAATTTAAATTATGGTTTTGCTCGCTCTGTTATGCTTAAGTTTGAAATTTAGTATTTTTCTTTAGTTTTACATAATTTGGCCCCTTCCTTTTATAATGTCATTAGTTAATTCAATTAGCTAATAAAGTTAACAATTCTACTTAAAATACTTAGGATTTTTTTTTCATTAAACACTACTAATTCATCATATTGACTTAGATTCTTTGCGTTGGGTGGAGAGTGTTCTTAACCTTGTGGTCGTGGGATTGAGTTCTACGGTGGGCAATTCATAATTCTGGCTGTCGGAGGTCTTCTACGGAAGCTGCTCTCAACCTGGCGTTGGGGACAGCCTACTATCCTACCTCTCCCTCACCCCATTACATATGGGAATAGGGTCACCTAATTTTTTTTATGAACAATAGATTCTCTATCATTTGAATCTTCAATAGAGCATCTTTGAGAAACTCAAAACTAGTGACATATTTATAATCTTATTAGTAACTAAATGACATATATAATCCAACGAATTTATAAACAAATAATTAATTCATTAACTGAATGACTCATTTATAAAAATTTGAAATTATAATGTCTCATTTATAAAAATTTGAAATTAACTCATTTGTAATCTTACTATCAGATGTAGTTTACCCTTTTTATTTTTCATCACATGCTTCGTGGCTAATATAACCTTCCAATTTCGATTTCTAAATGTCCTGAACTATCATCCTAGAATCTTGACTGTCGATTTATAGTTGATGATATTGTCGAGTATGTCTTTCAGAAAATCAATAGGTGATGGAGCTTTCGATCTCGTTGCTGCCTACTCGGTTGAAATTGCAAGCAATTTGGCTGTCCGGCAGCATGTTTCTTGACCGCGGACCGTCGATAGACTCAATCAACAACCGAGCAAGATA